CTCGTGATGCCAATTTTTCTCCTAATTAGATTGATAATTAATTTCATTAATTCTACCAATTGTACCTTGTTCGTAGTGTTCTGTAGAATATGGAACGTCACCACATTCTTTGTCGCTTCGAATTATTTTTTTAATCAATTTATCCCGTAGAAAGTCGTAAAACTCAAGAACAGAACCATTACGTCAGACTTAACGACGTCTGTGACGTGACATTAAGTCATATACAACAAAATAATATCTTATGAGGGAGACCAAACGAAAACCTAAGCGGTTTGAAGATGATGAAGTATTATGTATCAAAGTGGCCGAGAATAATTTTTTAAATCAATGTATTGTCTTGGAAGTAATAAAGTTACCGAACTTAACAGACCTAGCAGTATCAGGTGGCATATCAGTTAAAAAAGGCATGAAGTTTCACAAATTGAAATAAATTTTCAAAATATTTGAAGTATCCGGAAAGTCCTTGTTAACGGCGAAGCAAGAAGGAACGAGTTTGCTTCTTCCATCATAGTTCGTCGACACAGAAGACTATGCCATTTTAGAGTTCTCAGTTTCTTTTTATAATACAAACAACTTTGCTCATGCTGTCCACTGCTAGGGAATAACTACCATTTGAAAACACAAAACAATTCTTCTCACCCTTATCGCAATAGAAGCCTTCGAACCCAGGGGGACAAACGCATCTGTAACCAGCAATGTCGTTCACACATGTTGCACCGTTCTGGCAATAATGACTCGCACATTCATCAATGTCTAGACGATTGAGAAAGTTTGAAGCAAATTTTTTAAATTTTCTAGTGAATTTACTTAGTTTGTTCTATTGGTCGTGAAACCATTATCAAGCTGTATTATACCACAGGATCGTATTTATACTGATCAAAGTGTAAATTACTCCTATACTTTGCAGTGAGTGTACTTTTGGTTTATCTTGTCGTCTGTCTTCTTAACTCTTGTCGGCGTTTTGAACAACCTAGCGAGGTAAATGTTTACTTACATACTGATCTTGAAAGTCAACTGGTAGTCCATCGACTGTGTTCCATATTAGGCTTGGAGTGTACATATAAGTTACGCTTATTTCATTTTTTTGGACATTTTTACCGATTCGGAAAAATCTATACTCAAAATCATTGATCTCTGTTTGATAAT